AAATACTCAAAAACATTGTTTTGTTTTTCTCTGCGAATCATTTAGTTAACCTGCTGGGTTTATTATACCTAGTTCGTCCCCACAAACAGAAGATTAACCCAGTAGGGAGTTAAAATCTAAAAGGAGTTTAGCCATAATATACATAAGCTCTTCATCATTTTAAGGGTGAGCTAAACACATTGCAGCATAAGGAAATTCAAGTTTTTGCCAAAAGTATAGGTCCGATTGTAATAAACTTAACACCGTTGAAATGTGCGTAAAAAACCCTACCCAGAGTGCTTTTCCGTTTTTTAAATTTTGTAGTCAAAAAAAAAAACTACAACGCATTGAAATTGTGGGGAATATGAGATTATCTGGTTTTCGCTATTTATGGATCAAGTTTAAATTTTCAAAAAAGTACATTAGTAGAAATTGTATTAAAAAAAACATTGCGCTTTACAGAAATAAAATATTTTAATAAACAGAAGTAAACAGGGGCAGAATATTTAAAAACTGTGGGCAAACAAACTTTAGGCCATTTTTCTGGTCCACTCAAATCTATAAGAAGTAACCGATAGAGGCCGTCCTTTTAAACCCTTCATAGTCCGACCATAATATTTTATGAGGGTGTCCACCCTCTAAGGTTTTCTAAATTTTATCTGTAAGTCACAACTCCAAGTAAGAGGCAATTAAAGGCAGACTTTTAAGTTTACATTATCTTGTAGCCCTCTTCTAAGTACTTGGGAACACCCTTTTTGTTAAAGATTGGTGGACTTATATTTACGATACATTTACAAGCCAATAAGATATTTTGAAATCACCCACCAATGCAAATTTTTGTTTAAAAGTTGTTGCAGTTGGCATAGAACTTTTATTGGTAGCTAGAGTGGAATGAAATTAGGCGCAAAAGAATTGGCTCTTCAATTTTTAGTAAAATATGTAACATGTTGCCCCACAACAGTTCCGTCTAGCGCCGCAGTGGAAAGGATGTTTAGTGTTGGGGCGGATGTTTTTAAGACAAAACGGCATGCCTTAGATGACGAAAATTTTGAATCAGTTATTATTGAATTTAAATTATGAATATAGTCTTCTTACATGAAGTACTTATTAGTTTTATTTTATTTACTGATGTGGATATGCAACAAATGCGTTAGTAAAATAAATCACTCACTCCCTTTTTCATTCTAACACGTTTTTTCTTGACCCTTTGGAACCATACAACAAACATCTAAAATAGTGTCGGTCAAAATTTTCAAAGTGCAAAAAGTAATTATTAAAGTAATGCATTACTTTTTAAAAGTAATTGTTCCAATCACTGGTTTCGTGATAACCTCTATAAAGTAAAAACCAGTGGCGTAATTAACATTCCGCAGCCCCTGCATCGCAGATAACCAACAGGAAAAAATATAGATATTCTCAATTTCTCAGTACATGCTTACGACTAAAAAGTTAAGATTACAAGCATCAGCTGTTAAAAGAAAATTAAACTGATTTTTTTCACCTCAAATCAGAAGAGATCACTGATTAATAAGTTAATCACATTCAGTTTTTTATCCTGCAAGATTATAAGATGATGGACAAAGTTTTATTGACGATTACCATTCTTCCAATAAACTTAAGGTATTTGCAAGATTTCACAGCATTCAGCTTTTACAATTTAATTTGTAAAATATTTTTACATAATTTTGAGTTTTTTTCAAAACTCTGGGTAAATCAAGGGTAAAAACACGGATTCATAAATCACACATGCAGGTGCATGTCATTTTATATAATTTTAAAACATTTATTCGGCATAATTGTGTGATATAGCATCATGATTTTCGGAGAGGTCGTAAATAAGTAAATTTTGAGTAATCATTTATCTTTAGAGCATTCGGTTTTGAAATTTCAAAGTTAATTTGTATAATACAATTTTTAATTTTTTCCCAAAAAATCTGGATCTCTAGCGTAAAAAGTCAACACGGATTCTTCAATTATACATGCAGGAGTATGTCTCTGTCTGCTGTCCCGATTTTTATTAGACAGATAATCTCCGAAAGTAGGGGGCAAATTGTTGTCAAATTTTGTATTTACATTAGGAAGATAATGTGGATGGTAAAACGTTAACCAAAATTGATCTAATCATCCCCACTAATTATGTGATGACCTCACTTCCAAATTGTACATAGCAAATGGGTTTTAAATTGTATTAAATAACAAAATGGTTTATGAGGCCGTGCTGAGTTTTTACCCGAGACGTCTGTCAGAATTATAAAACAACATTTTGGAATTTAATTTTGAATTTGCAAAACCGAATGCTTTGAAATCTTGCAGCTGTTTTAAAGTTATGATAAGCATAATACATTTTTAATCAAAATACACTTGCTTATCCCCCCAAAAAATTCCTGACGGCTCAAAATTTTTTCGAATAAATCCTATCTAAAATGTCCAAATATGATGAGTCTATAGTACTTGTGATTTATCGTTCCATTCATATTTTTTGAATTTGCTTATAGAGACTAACTCAATAAAATCAATGAATGATCAACATCGTGGTAATTTTTTTATCAAAATGTATTTGCTCATCCCCCTAAAAAATGTATATCGTCACCTCAAAATATTGTTGAATAAATTCTGTCTTAAATGTACAAAATATGATAGGTCTATACTTGTGATTTATCACTGCATGAATATTTTTTAGATTTGCTTATAAGGGGTGTCTCAAGAAAATTAATGACTGAGTCAATTTTCTTATTGATTAAATCAAGAATTGTAAAACTGAATACTGAACTGAATAAGACGTTTTAAATTTATTGTAAGTATGGTACATTGTTAATCAAAATATATCTGTTTATTTCTCTCAAAAAATTGATGACATCATCTCAAAATTTTGCCGAATAAATTCTACCTAAAATGTGCAAAATATGATGAGTTTTTAGGTGTGATTTATCATTGTATTCATATATTTTAGTTTTACTTAAAGAGGTGGGTCAAAAGAATTAATGAATGAGTCAATTTATTTTATTGATTGAATCAGGAACGGCTCACTCCATTTTCTCAGAAAATTTTGGAAATTCAATACTGTTTTTTTTAGTATTACATTGCACCAATCCAAATTGATATACGTCTCGTTGTTTTTTCTTGCACTGGTAATACGCTGTGACTACTTTTTTTTGTGATGTGACTAGTATTATCCATGTTGATGATTTCATGACAAATTTTTATTGCTCCAATTAAGAACCAGTCATCCCATTTTCTGGAAAATTTGAAAAACACGTTTTTATAATAATAATAATGTTAAAATAAGAATTATATTATACAATCAGAACATTTTGTTCGACTGTGGCTTAAATAATAATTTTAGTCTTTGTTTTAAGAAAATAAACTCATTCAAATCAAACTAATTTCTATGTGACATTCTTTCGATGTATAAGCATAAATAAACACTTGAGCATCAGATTGCTATTACCTAGTGTTGGAGGACAAGTGTTATTAGAGATGGATTATTTTAAGTTCAATATGGTGAGTCATCAGAATCTAACAACAAACTGTCAGTCAGTAGCGTAACATGCACAATTCAGAAAGGGGTGATTTTTAAATTTATGTTTTTAAATCGCAAACAATAACACCTGGAAACATAAAGTTTAAGTGAACTACTTAACATGCTAGCACGAATGCGGATGAATCGATTAGGCACTAATCTAAACAGGTAAAAACTCATCCCAGGTAGAAAACTTCACTATGACAGAGAAACGATGACCGACGCTTCTGAGGATGCGCCGATTCGAAAATGCTGGGTATGTTTCATTCTACTTCAGGAGTCAGGAAAGTTCTGTCGAAAAAACTTTGACCATTTTTTTTTAAAGAATTTTAAATGTCTTTCCTTTTGAAGTCATGCTTAAAATTAAAACAATAGTGAATTAAAAAACTATATCTACAGAGGCATGTTATTTTACACAACCCTGTTTCTCATATTATTTTTCGCATTTTAATTAGGATTTGCTTATCAAATTTTTATACCAGCATTCAACAATTGTCAACAATAGTCTCTTACGGTATTTTACTTTTCAATACTAATAATAACAATATTCGTGCAAATTCCCTCTTAACTTATGGTACCAAAATATACTAAATTTACGATAAGTGGGTACGAAGCACCTAACGTGTTGTAATATGTTTGTTTGAAAGAACACAAAAAAGTGGCAACAACGCAAGGTGCCACAAAAGCATTGATTGTCTCAATTTATATACAGATGGGTGCCTTATTACTGTTGATTTTGATTGTGCTTCTTTTACATTATTTATCAAATCGGTATATACACAGGGAGTCACAATTACATTCATCCTACAGGGTGCCACTTAATACAAAACTTATGTATATATATATATATATCATAAATTAATATACGTATTTTAAAATACAGAAAAACCCTCAAAAATCGTTGTACACTGTCTTAGAAACCATTTTGACGGAATTTCCTTGGCACCCAAATCTTGGAGCACCATATATGTGATTAATATAAAATTCCTTAACAAAGTCAGCGAAATTTCTCTTTCAATTTCAGAAATGTTTGCGAATTACTTAGTCACCCGGTAGTTTTGTCACAACAGTGACAACACTCTGAAGGCATCTACTTAAACATAAGGGTAGAATCATCAGCACAATTAAGGTGCGAAATTATTTTGAGTCAACTATTCAAGAATAATCGGTTATTACTGTTATTATTACTCTTCCAAAATGTTGTGGGTTTTTGTAATTTGACAATTTTTGTAATTTATTAACAAAAATCAGAGATGTAATTTAACTCTAATAGTGTAGTTATACTGGAACAACATATTAAACCGTAAACCTTATTAACACGGATGTCCTTCACTTGACACTGCATAGTTAATTCACTTTTTCCACTCTTTAAAGTAATTAGTTGAGACGTTAAAAGTAACCATTCAAAAAGTGAATCAACTGTATCCACCGAAGCAGAAAAGGTTACAAAGCATAAATATATTTACTGGACATTGCCATCGAACAGCTGTTGGGAAATTACCGTATCCAAAATGTCTGTAACGCGACAATCCGTTGAGGTCACCTTCGGGATTACTCTGGCCACTGTTGAACCTGTTTGGATGATCTTCAGGTCTCTGTCGAACATAATGTGGAAAGGAAACACACGGCAAAACGTGGCTGCGTTTACCTTGGGTTCTGAAAAAATCCGGAAAATATAAGCATGTGTATAATCATCAGGTGTAATCATACTTCATGCTTTTTGCAACAGGTAATCTCCAGTTTTATTAGTTTCTTTGGCGACAGAGAACGACTGCCAAAAATGCGTACAATGTTAAAGGATGTAAATGAACAGCTTTATTTATTTTATGGCTAAGATATGCGCTACTTCGAATAGTTGTCATTGCCAAAAATATTACTAGTCAATAGTATTTTATTTCTGTTTGTAACTACATTAATAGTTGATAATTTTCGGCTAAAAATTATTTCCAGAATTATAGATCCTTAGGATAAATTATAAACTTCAGTGTTGTGTATCCCGTTTTAAGGAACTCCAAATTTTTCGAAAAATGATAAATTTTGATTTTGAGAAATTTAATTTTTCATAATAATCCGTAAAAAATATAGATAATGCCTGTCAGAGTGTAAAAGGAAAAATACCTGACGCATAAGATAATGGAACCCTACGACCTCCACGTTGCGAACAGGACAAGCTACCCATTACGGCGCCGGACCTTTGTGTAAGGGCTCCGCTTATATTATTATAAAAAGTTATTGTTTAATTTGATTTTTTTTTGCGAAAATATAGATGCCTAGCGGAAAAACTGTAAATGATAATATTTATTACGCAAAATTGAGATGGCGTTATCAAAGTCTTGGTAGGAAGGCTTACATAAATTTTAACTTGCATTTTATAATTTAGAAATAGATTTCAAGTATACACATAAAATCTGACAACAATTGATCTAGTAGTTTCGGACATTATCCGCCTTCTAAAAATCGACACAGACAAACGACAAACGACATGTGACAGACAGACGGAAACGGGAAATGGTTCGATCCCTCATTACAATCCTTCCGTAGATTATCTTCGCGAAATAAAAATGAAGACGTCTTACTGAATCATAGGGAGCATCGCATATCAGGAATTAGTTTTCAAAAAACATTTTTAATTCATTTTTATAATATAATATAATTTTGAATTGTTGTCTTCGGAGAATTTCAAAGAACTATGATTAAATTCTGAAATTTGAATTGCAGTCCGGCAGATCCCCCTTCTTTAAAAATATATGAAATTTGATTTTGGAAAATTTTATTTGTGATAACCTCTACATATTATAAAAAAGTAGCTTATACTTGGGAAGAAAAAATATGAGTGTGTTTTTTTAGAAAATCTTCTAGAGTTTGTTTTTCTGAATTTATTAATGGATCGTTCTTTGATCACCCATACTCCTTCATTACCTTAGATTCCAACGCATTATGTTACGAAGATACACTTTTTGTATTTGGTCTGGCGCGGATTGCGGGAGAATCGGGTGAATTTACATATATTACTTATTATAATTCAAATAAATGAAAATAGTTTTGAAATTTTTTGATCGATCGATTGTAATTTATGCGAAACAACTTTTCCATTTGTTACGTAAATTTTGGAAAAGAATCACACGGAAAATTCTTAAACTGAAAAAAATATTATTGTAAATCTGTGCTTGTTTTTGAAAAATATGCTCCCCTTGTCACTAACTAATATAAAAGGAAAGAAAATATTGAGTTCACGTTTTTTATGTGTGCGTTGTATTATCGTATATGGATTACAACTATTAAGACCAATTAAATGTGCTTAAGAAATTGTGTGTTAATTTTATGATCTCACTATTATGTTTGTCCTATTACACTTGAAGTCCATAAAACGATCTAATTGTAGTATAATAGTTGCCCTCGTTAGTGAAGCAGGTGTTTATAACGACGGTTTAATAATACCTATACCTTTATATTATACGTAATATTTTATGCGAAACACAGATTACCTTTAGATTTTCTTTAATTTAAACTACAATGACCGGAGAAAATTGAAACGCTCTCGTAATTTCTTTCAGTCTGTAGATATTTGAGAATAATCGGTGCATCGGCCTTTAAACCATAAAACAAAACCGTAAACCGGCAGTCGTTAGATTTAAATCATTGTGAGCAACTTGTAATCTGAGAATAATCGTCGAATCAAAGAAATGAAATATTAAAACGGTGTTCGTCTGAAACCGTTCTCCTGTTATAGAAAGCGCAGTATTTCACGCACAAACTGTTGTTATTAATTTTCCGTTCATTATCGGTTTTGTCTCAATTAATGAAAGCTATATTGCAACATGAGGAAGTCATACCTAGCGACAAAGTCTGGATTTCATCGATTTCCGGGTGTTGGACTTTTCCGGGACCAGACGCTTCGGTTATTAAAAACTGAACATGATCGCATTCTTCTTTGGTTTTAAGAATATCGACCACCACTTCAGTACCGTGCAACTTACTAGCGACGGTCTATAATTAAACAGTGTAGCAACGACAAATTAGGATAATTTTTGAAAAGTACCTTTACTATTCCGATAACAATATGTTCCAATCCGGGCCTGTCGGAGTAGTAATGCAAGATCAACGCGCCATCTTCAGGTCTGACGGTGCAACGAAAGGATGGTGCTTTCATCCCGGGATACAGAGTTCCCAAATGATCGTGCAGAGCATCCAAATTCTGGGATAAACGAACGCGAATTACAGGGATCTAGGGAATTTGTCCCTACCTGAAGAAAGTCCCTAGGAGTGGCGCCTAACACCTGTAGGATTTTGTCAAAGCCTGAATCCTGGCAGAACTCAAAAAAGGTTTTTCCAAAAAGTTCTAAAATTGCGGTGGCTGGTATTTCTGAAAAATAGACAGTGTTACTAACAATTGAACGAAAAATTAAAAATTTACGTAAAACGTCCACCGCGGCTCCTATCAGGTTGTAAGTAAGTTCATCTTCATAGATCTGTCGCACCAGAAATGATCCTTCCATCTCAAGCTCGGCTTGTTTCCTGCAAGCAAAAGTTTCAAATTTAATTAAAAAAAAAATCTGCATACTTGATAGTTTCCCATGTTTCATCGCCAAAAGTTTTAACAACCAATAGCTCCAAAGCGTAATTCACAAATCCATACTAAAAAAAAATTAATAAAATTGTGTACTGGTTGTTTAGTTTTAGTACCATGATGGTCTCGATACGCGACCAGCAACTCTCTCTTGCTCACGTTGTTGCGTGAATGCCGGCGTCGACACCACTGAAAAACTCTCTGAAAACGGCCATCGATTCAAGTTGAGGCGCTTGCGTCTCCTGAAACGGAGAGATGGCGCTGTTTTATTTCATACTAACGGATTTTATGGGTAAGCATTCATAAAAAAGATTAAACGTCTTCATTCTGGTCTCGTAAACGCACCCCTAACGATTTAAAACGCTACCATTTTAGTACCTCTCCCAATCTTATTAATTGGTCAATTTTTCAAGAGCACCCTCAACTTCCTTTACGCTACCGACTTTCAATTTAATTATCAATCGTTAGTGTAAATATCACCTGCACCAAGCGAGGTTAAATAGGATGATCAATATTTCATTAAGAATTCAAGAGACGTTAGATGCGAATTCCATTCGGAGAGAAGCTGCATGACCTATCAACTTCCACCCCTGTTCAAATTGGTTTAGACAGACGTATCAGGTACCGTCGGTTATGATTTAATTTATTTGAAATTGAAACACCCTTATTGAAATCTTGGATAATCCCGCTTTGATGGAGATTTTATAATCGCACTGTTTAACTCTCTCTACCACGTCCTTTACTTATTTGATAAGGAGTTAATTTTGAGTCCTCAATTAAAATCCTATTTGTATGAGAATTCCTTTAGGAGCGACGGATATCGAATTAACGCCGCCAACAATACGGATTTGTCTTCATATTTCCGTGTTTCCGAATGATGTATTTAATTAAAACAGGTAATAAATTTTCAACTCATTCTGATGCAGCTTTTTTTATTTTCGCATTGTATTGTATTTGCTGATGGAGTGTTCAGTTAGTTTATTTTTCGGAATTGGCTACGTTTACTTATTTTGTACTAATAGTACAGATTTTTATTCAAGTATAGTAGACATTCTTTAGCAACAGTTTTGCTACAAATTTCGAAATCGTATGATTAACTCTCAAAACGTGCTCGTAACAGTGAATGTATGCGAATCGAAAACGTTATAAGCAAGAATATGAATCAACGCTAATCTTTTCGATCTGAACGAATATGTAATAAAACCAGACATCACATCTAGGTTATCGTATAAAAAATTTAGACCCTCGTAAAATATAAATTGCATTATTTATAGCTTGTTTAAAAACATGTATTAAACCTACAGACTGTAAAGTACGTATTCAAATAAAATAAGAAAACATTTAACAGTTTCAAAATTCATAGTTAAACGTGTGGAACAAAATTTTGTGACTTGATTATGAAAAATTATACAATAAGTATTTATATAAATTGGTAAGAAATATCGAGTATAGGGTGGGAGCATTTCGAAAACATTGGGCTGACATCAGGGGCTGTCGCAGATTAAAGGGATGTCTCAAAAATAATTATTCTATTTCTTCTTTAGTTGGCAGCATCCAAAACGCAAATAATGTATTTTACACGAACGCTTTAGCAGCAAAACGGTTGGTTTGCTAAATCCGCTTCGAATTCAGCAAAAAGTTGCTACGTGAAATAAACACAGTTTACTATCAGTTTTTTATCATTAAATCCACTTCGGATTCACAAAAAAATCACTACCTGAAATATACACAATGTACTACTGAATGTTTGTCATTTCGCAAACACTCGTGTTAAAATTGTACTTTAATTTGCTGTTTTTTTTTGGATTTTGTTCATAAATGATATCTGAAAATTACATTTTTTTAAACCACATATTGAAAGTTATTCAGTGCGTTAAAAACAACAATAAGATTTTATGAATTCCTTTTATAATTTTTAGCTAGCGAGATTTTTTTTCGTGAAGATTTCAAGCGGCTAAAATTGTAAATTATACTCCCATACCCATAACATTTAAAACGGAAAAGTAGCAACAACTTTTTCCTCTAAAATTAGAATTTGGAAATGGAAACCGTTCGAACAGTGTTATTATATAAGACAATAAAGTTTTTGTGCTTATTTAAGACAGAACTCGATTTTAACAATTCTCAACTTAAAGAGAGTGTATGTTAACAGATTTCTTTATCTTGATATATTTTCAGAATATAATGTACAGCTTTGCTACTCCTCCAGAATTCATTATTTTTATTTTGTTATTTTCAAAAGTTTGTCTCCATAGAAAAAAATGTAGGCGATAAAGAATACATTACTTGTTTATGTTTGTTTAGTGTGGTAACCATGGGTATTGTAATACGACCACAGTCTTTTACCATAAATCTGTGTTATACTCTATTCTTAATATTATTATACATTGGGATAAAGATGTTATCTGTTACATATTATTCAGCCGCTACACTATTGCACTAACGTTAGTAAAACAAAACTATATTGATTTTCATTCGGGGTTATTTGTGGGTTGATAGGTAGTCATTTGTTACACTGTTGGTTGATATACGTAGAGTATGTATAGTACGTGGGTAAACAATGTTACTGTCTCAGTTATAATACGAGTAATGTACTTGCTGTTTGCTGTGTATGAACAGTCATGTATGTAGCTAATGGCAAGTTATTCAGTATCACTATAGATTTTTACATAAATTAGTAACAAAATAAAACACAATAAAAAATACGAGCGTAACATTTGTCGCAGTTTGATAAATATTTTAATTTTAATATTGTTTTTGATTGTTAGTTATTGACCTCATAACAATTATGTCATTTATTTTACGTTTAAATATTTAATTTTACTATCCATATGTACATGTAACAGCACGTCATATTTTAGTAATCCAATCAAAATATGTAGTTTATTGTGATATTAGTTTAATATGTAAAATGCAAGGGATTATGACACGAATTTAAAGTAATTTTATAAATTCCATGAACACGCATTATTTATTAAACGTAGTGCCTTGAAAGTCGGAAGCGCTTTTTAAGGATAACTATGAAAATTCTGGGAATGTGCAAATAAATAATAATAAGGTGACGACAGTGACTAAAAAAGTAATAGTTGCATATTTCTTGCCTTTTAGGTTTGAACATTTTTTTTTAATCTTTGGTGTTCCTACTCCAAATTAAAATATATGTTGTGTATGAAAAACTAAGTTGTCATTACTAAATTCACAAAGCATTTTTAAAAAGCTGTTCTGTCGGCTACAAGGCTGGGAAATCTTCTGTATTTTCGAAAGAGCAGTTAGTTTATTTTTCATAAATACTCCAGATGCACTCATAAAGGCAAATTACCTTATTAGATGTTTCATGTACATACAGATTTAGTCATAGAAATAATCTTTCCAGGGTGTTGAAATTTTTGGTTTGTATGGGCATGTCGACGTTGTTGTCAGAGATACAACAAAAAGTAGATTTGTTACACATATTTTATTATGTAAGCGACTATATGTATATTGATATTATATAACTAATTGTACAGTATTTCCACCTTTTTAAGAAGTGACATTTCTTTGAGAGTGTCGCATCTGGCGCAATAATTTCTCTTCATCGGTGCCAGACAAAGTAGCCATACCCTTGGGTACAGCTTTTTGATAAAGTTGCACAACAGATTTTCCGCTCTGTCATTGTCCGTACTTTATCTTCTAGTCTAGATCCTTAATGTAAAAATTACCGTTCTGTGATATAATGATTCGGTTTAGTGTTATTTTTTTAACGAAAGAAAAAACATGTATATCCGTTGCTAATAAAAAACCCGCTTTGTACCTACTTAAACCAGATTAAAGTCTATTTTATTTGCATTATGTTATCCCAATAGAACCACCAAAGATGGGAAGACGGAAAGTACATGCAGCGACAAAGTGCATGATCTGTTTGTGCCGAAGCAACGAATGCCACACCTGTTTTTTTTTTCTGCGGGTTATAGTTAAAGAAAAATTGGTTGTTGTTTTTATTGGCAGCTGGTCTCAGGTTGATAGAAATTAATACTTAATATTAATTTTATTCATTTTGGTCGTTTCGGCAGGCACGTATACCTTGCCTTTTTCAACAACCGCCTGTTGGGTTACCAAATGAGTCAGAAAGAAGTTATGTGCGCTTAAAGTGGGATTTATAAACTTGTTGTTGACGTTGAAGTTCCCGTTGCAATTGCTGTTCCCGCTGACGTTGCTTCTAGAGCTGAAAATTGTAATTTATAAACTCCGTTGCCAAGTTGCCATTGATAGTAACTTTAATGTTCAACTTTGCCGTATTTAAAGGAGTTGTAGAAGATAAGTGGAGGATTTAAGTTGATTACTATATATATTTACCACTTTAGACATGTTTTAAGTTTCTTGTTGCCGAAATAAATCTACACATATTATGAAAAAAAGACAAAATGTAGAAATATCTCAATTGTGATGATTTTTTTTTATTCATCGTGAGTCAAGGGGACGGAGTTTAACTGCAAAAATCTTATTTCTCTACGAGAAATTAAAAACATGTTTTTGAGTATCGTGTTGTTCAAAAATACGATGTATGTTAAGAAAAATAAAGCCAAAGATTAGGCCTCACCCATACCCGCCTAGATCTCAATTGTCAATTGTCGATTTTCGTTAAATTTGGAATATTTCTGAAAGTATTGATAACATAAAGTGAATCTGATAATAACTAACAACAGCTTTTGGGAAATAGTCCAAAGAATTATTTATACACTTCCAGGAAACGTGTACAGACTCGAATACACACCATATATTTAATTACCTACGTCAAAAACGTCATTTTAAAGTTTTTTCCATTTAAGGTAGTATGTTTAAAATAATCTAAAACTATGGCGTTAAAAATTGGGGTCTTCGAATTTTCTCTAGGTCTAGGTGATGTTTTGGTGTTGTTTGAGAAGCTTAAGTGGAGCTGGAAGTTTACCATGACACTACGACGCTATGCGTCCTGGTGTGCTGGTAACATACCATGAATGGAACCTAGTGTTTGTGGACTAAGTTAGTGCAAAATGACATCGCTAAAACGTCATCACAAATACGCTGACGCTTTGAATCATAAGTTTAAGGCTGTATAAAATAATTCCAACTGTCGTAAGTACAATGAGAAATAAGAGCCAAAAAAAAACTGACAGGAAAGAGAATGCAAGAATCACTACGTGAAAAATTAGAACTTTGGTGATCTA